TAAACGCCCCGACGTGCATATCGTGGAGTTGAATTAGTCTGGCATGATTACGCTATGTTTGGCTTCCTCTGTCCTGCACAATGCATTTCAAACGGGAATTTCCCATCTGATCCGCACCTCACCGGCTGCGGGCGGGCCGTCGTCTTATACGCTTCTAACTAGAGCCGATGAGCGCTGTAGACGTCTGCCGAAACAGCAGCAATTTCGCCAAAGCTGTGCATTTCACTGATGTCGTTCGGCCCTTTTGACGCAGGTTTTCCCCCGAAGATGCAGTAGCTGACATTCCGAACCTGGATTTCATCATAGATCTGACGTTTACCACGAGGTACTACGATCCCTCGGTAAGCTACGGCCGATTAGCCCGGACTTAATCCGGGAGTTTTCCCTTCCGTCGTAGGTTTTCTGACAGAAATTCGAGGCAAATTGCATCAGCATCTTGAGACATGTAGTGTCCTCAACGGAACGTCAAGACCATGTCGTATCAGATGGGTTTCCCAGGTCGTGCTAGGTCATATTGACACAAGGTCATTGGCAAGCGACGTCATAGGCACTGAACTCATAGCCTTGTTCGTAGTTTTTAGTTTGCTTGGTACTCATTAATCCTCCAGTGTCCATGGACTCAAACACATTGCTAAGGTCACCCTGACTTCATCCTAACTCATCGGAGATCAGCGACATTCTTTGCTGTTTGCATGTGTAGGGATCGAGGTTCAGTGGAAAAGCCTGCCATTGCCGACTTGTCACGCGATATGAAGACATGCCGATCAACCGTGGCGGACTGGGAACGCTCCGCCGGCTAGCTCGGTGTGTTGGGCGATCCTCATCATCTTTGTGTTATGGTGTGCACTTTGCTTTACGCTGCAATGAGTTTGTCATATTGTACGCTACCTATGGTCCTCCCCGTCTCTTAAAAACAGATGAGCCGCCAGTTTACGAGTGACTTAGCGCTTTTCGTCGTTTGAAGGTTATGCTTGCATCCTCAAGGTCCTTTGCGCCATTTTACTTTTTTGACGTCTAACGTTGCAGTTTTCGACCTTGCGTGACGTACCATGTCAGTTAAGTCGTCACGCTTATCATTATGAACATAACGTCGATAATGCACATTCCGGTCCAGTATCGGCCGCCACACATACATAGCGCCGCATGTTAGCCCGTGACGTGGTTCAAGCGGTGCCGTGGGCCATGGCTTGAGCGGGCGCGAGCCTGCACGCGGGAGGCACCACGGAGCCGGTGATACGCACCATCTGCCCCTGTCAGTAATGTCAGGTCAGAGGAGCTGGCTGTGAGGCGACGGCTGCTTGTCACAGGATTGACTCACTGCGTGTATTGTTATGGGCATACTGTCTCGTTACGCCTGGCGACAACCTTTTCAGGATAGGCGTTATGCAAACGTGGAGGATGTTTTCCACTTGAGAGGTATCATCCATAGTTGAACATGAAAAGCTAACAAACCGAGACAAATTGCCAATGACTGCAACACGCGCACCCGATGGGGCTGCAGATCACAACTGAAAGCGCCCGAATACACCGTTGTGTGAGGACTCCCATTCCTGGAGCGTGCGTGACCCTCCGATTGCATGCAGCAGTTAACCCACACATGCAATATAAACACGGTATCAAAAATGAGCTTTTCACTATATGTACCGTTAGCTGCATCTGCCTTCCTGCTTTATTACCACTAAGCCACTAAGAATGCAACCATTTGAAGAGGATGTATTCTTAGTAATGAACCGTTTCATATTTATTGCGGTCTAGAAGTGATATTTTGATGATAAATGCGTAGCTGCATTGCGAGCTCTCCAAGCTATGCTTCAGCTCACCTTTAAGCTTCTCTTTGTCCTCAGCTGTATCGAGAAATTAGCGTAATCAGCCGCCGAGGCGGTGCTGGTTGGCTCACCGGCGTCGCCGTCAGCTGTGCCATGCGCAGCCATGTCCCATGTTCCAGCGCGCGCACGAGCTGTGGGCTCGCGCGCGCAGGTGTGCCTGCAGCCGCGACTGCGCCCTGCAGGTGTGGCGCTGCCTGCTCGTATGGCGATGTGGCGCTTCAGTTACATGGAGCAAGTCTGTGGAACCGGGCTTGAAATGCTGTTCGATTTTTTACGATAGTGCGAGGTTGAGGCTCGGGGTGTTCGGCTCTGACTGCGCCAAGTTTTTTGGACATATTTGTCCTTCGGGCTGCGCTGGGTACGCGCCAAAAAATTTCCATCATGACTTATTGCATGTTTCACTACGTAGAATGTCACGTAATTTTGTGGACTGTTTTAAATTTCGATGCGTTTCCAACATAAAGACAGCAGGCTCACATTCATGATTACTTCAGAGCATGAAGGAAAAACTTATCAGTCTAAAATATTACGACAATTTCACCGTTCTATTTCCTTGCCACTACTACTTCTCGTTCAAGAGATGCGGTTAATTACTCTTCTTATCGGAGCTAGCGTTTTCGATGTAAGTTTTTATATACCTCGTCTTTATATACATGATCCATATTGTGGTTTAGTGATCGTGTTATTATTATCATCTCATGCCTCGCGGATTTAATGGCCAATGTCTAGATTTCCTAATCAAGGCGACTCACGGAGGCTCACGCCAATGCAACGCCAGCCCACCGTGGGCGCCGCCACGGTGTCGTATGGTCGGCCGGTGCGACAGTCTGCCCGCCAGTTGTGTGCTCTGTCGTATGGTCGGCCGGTACGACCGTCTGCCGCCAGTTGTGTGCTCTGGCGGGCAGCGGGCCTCCGACTGCACGGCGAGCTCGGACCGAGTTTGTCGAGCGGCGGCCGCGGCTCCGGTCCGATGACGGCGCACGGCCGGCGCGGCCCCAGTCCAATGACGGCGCACGGCCGACGCGGCTCCGCGGCCGGGCGCGGCCCGCCTCGGCGGCGCCACTGCCGCCCGAGTCAACTGAGAGAGCGGCGGCGGTCGGCCTGCACTCGTGATCGATGGCGGTCGCGCCGGGGGAGTCCCACACTCGGCCCGCCCTCTGTTGACTCGACCTGGAGCCGGCCGGGCGGCCGAGAGGTGACCGGGGCGGGGCAGGGTCCCTGAGAGGTGACCCGGCGAGGGAGAGGTGGCCGGGACCGAGAGGCACGGCCGGGGATGAGAGAAATGACTGGGGCTGGGATGACCCGCACTGACGACGATGACCCGCACTGAGAGAGATGCCGAGAGACAGCCGGAGCGAGAGCTGACCTCTAGCTCAGCTGACCGGCCCAGAGCCCCCCCCCCCCCCCCCCCCCCCACCTGTAAGCCTCAGAGTGGACCTGGCGCTCAGACGGCCGGACCCCAGAGCCGACGGTGTCCCAGAGCCGCCCTTCCACCTGGCCGGGACCTCGAGCGGACCTGCCAACCAGCTGGGCGAGTCCTCGAGCGAACCTGCCGCCCAGCTGGCCGGGACCTGGAGCAAATCTACCGCCCAATTGGGCGGGTCCGCCGTCGACCTGGGGCCGCCGTCAGCGCCGCCGGCCCTAATTGGGCCATCACGACCTGGGGCCGCCGTCAGCGCCGCCGGCCCTAATTGGGCCATCACGCTGGCGTGGGCCGACATATTGGACAGATGACAAATGCGCCGATGGCCGGATAGCGGGCGGCTGGCGCTGACCGGTCGGGCTCGCTAGGGCCGCACCGAGCCATCAATCAGCGCCGGGCGGCACGGCGGCCGCGCCTCCATTACGGCCAGCTTAGCCAGCCATCGAGTGTCATCGGCCGATAGGATCGGCTGCGCCGCGAGGTGTGAGCGCGCCTCGGCTCGTTAGCCGCCGCGCGCCGTTGCACCGGCCGCCGACGGCCGGGCGGCGAAAGTGCATTGACAGGTGAAGTGACGGCCGATTTTTTCGGGGGCTGCGGTGAGGGATGGCTGACACGGTGTCGCACTGGGTCGAGTGCGTGTATTTTTTTACAGGGAGTCGTTCTCTGCGCAACGGGCAGGAGGTTGCGCACGGTCCACCGCGGGGATCGGCCGGTCCCTGCCGGTGACGCGTGTCCAGCGAGCCTGGGCACGAGGCCGCCGAGCCGGCTTTTGCCGCCGTCGCTGCCGGTCGCATCAGGTCTTTGGACCACTTGTCACACGCCCTTCGGTCTTATCGACTTCAGCCACTTGCCCTTGCCGCCCGATGTGATAGCGCACATCGGCATGTCCGGACTGCCGCGCGTCCGATGTGATGTGCGAGCGTGCACCGCTGCTCCCGTCACTGACTGACTGCGTTCCGTCCGTCGGTCCAGCTTTTAACGCGGTCTCTCTGTGCGTGTGGCCGCCCGCGTGGGGCCTTCTTCGGCGTCACCTGTCTCACCTTTTCACTGGAGCTAATCGCCAAATGTGAGAATTTCGAATACCAATCGATAGGCCTGGTCCAGCTTGTCTTCACGTAGCCACTCTCCGTCTAACATTCGTCTAACAGCCGCGTAAGTTTTGACGTCACAGTTAAAGAAACAGGCATACAAGCGGTCGCAATCAGAACATGTCAGCGTACCCTCTGGCGAGATTGGCTCTGTTCAGGGAGCCTTGCAGCGGACTTCGCAAGAAATCTCTTATTTGGTGCATCAGAAAGGTGTGATAAGCTGTTAGCTTGATGTCATACTGATCGTATCGTGTCACGTTCGGTAAGCTTTTGCCAAATATGATGCGGGGATAGATCCTATCGGACCAATTAGTATGGTCTAATCACTATATTGCACCAACAAATGTGCTTCGTGCTAATTGACGAATGTAGTAAGACGTTCTTACAGCCTGCTGGAGCGCGTCAATAACCATATGCGAATAGCTGTGAGATCAGTACGGATGATGTCACTCGATGAGACCCTTTCATATGGCTTGACGTGCCACTGATATTGCAACTGGTTGGTCATGTCAGCTGTGTGGTGTTCTTTGCTTATACCCAGTACAAGGACAGACATCTTGCGGGAAGTTCGAACTCGAACCACGTGACCAGTCTTGCACGGTTTCACGAATGACGTCATATATTGGCGGGGAGCCGTCACGAGCATTACACTGTCGTCAAAGTATGCCGCGTAGTGTGAGTCATGTGACAGGCATGTCATGTGCGGTTGAGGCAATGTATGCCTCTCAATAGCTTTAAACCGATACCGTATGACCGAGCTCAGGGCTCAGGAACCATCTCTGGCGGCCGTGTGTTGGACATGCTCGGGATCCAGGCTACCGGTGGCTTCCGAACAAAACCAGCGTGCAAACGTACGCTTTTGTATGTTTACACGTCCTTCCACCAAATGTCCGCTCGAGCTACCGCTCCTTGGTCGCTATCCTCAGTTGTCCACTCGAGCTACCGCTCCTTGGTCGCTATGCTCAGGTGAGTCGTGCTAACCGAGCCAGCCGACGCCCGACCGCTTCAGGCCTCCGTCTCGAGGAGCTGGTCATGCCCCCCGACCACGGCGGCACCCCACCGTCGGCCGCTCTCGCGCTCGCTCCCACCCCGCACCCGCTGCCAGCTCCCGTGTCCAGCATAAGAGACGGCGCGTGGCCGGCGGGCCCGTCGCCGCGCGAGACGACAAGGCGTGCCCTGTCCACGCCGGAGACTTCGCCAGCGGTGAACTCAGGCTACCTCTGATGAGACGCCGCGCTCTAACGCCTGTCTCTGCGCCACCGCCAGGAGTTCGAGAGCCGCGGCGTACGTCACGGCAAGATCGCCACAGAAGGTCACGTGATCCCCAGAGGCCCGGTGATGCGACGGTGAGTGGGCCGACGGAGGCACGCACGCGCGCCCGCCAGCGCCGGGCGCACGCACGCGGCTGCCGGCCGGGCGCACGCAGCCGGCTGCCGGCGGCCCGCCGCCCGCCGGCCGCCGGCCGCCGGCAGCCGGCACGTCCGGCCGCATCGCGCCAAACGACCAATTAATAGCGCCTCGCACAGTATGAATAGCTTAGCCTCGGCGCGACTGCGTTCTTACACGGTATTTTACGCGTATTTTCACGGGGGCCGGCTGGCGGGCGCGACTCGGGTTCCTCTTTAATTAGGGTCGTCTTAGCGCTGAGTTCTGCGCGGCCCGTCAGCTCCCGGTTGGCAGGCGGACGGCGCCGGGCTCTGCCCAGACAGGCACAGGTGCCACTCTGATGTCAAGCACCGGCTGTTAACTATTATTTTCACGTAATTTTCCGTCCTTCTTTATATATTTTATTGATATAAATGTGTGTGAATATGTATATGTGTGTTACGTTTCATATAACATATTGTACTTTTCGCGTAGTATGTTCGTTTTGTGAGTTGTTATGACAGTGAGTATTTAATATGTGCGGTAAAGCGCGTGTGAGTGAGGACGGTCCATTTTATATTTCTGGCTCCAGTTCATTACACCTCAGTCAGGCCGTAGCGCATCAGATTTTGGTCAGGTCGGAGGCCGGCATCACGTTGGCACCGCTTGCTGTATTTGTGATCTGGTTCGTTGTAAATGTTAAGTAGTAATGCAGCAGCGTACGGACGTGTTTTGTGTTTCATTATTCCATGTTGGTGGTTTGCTCTGCTAGGAGCTAGTTAAAGTATAACGCGGAAAGTCCGAAACAGAAGAAGATTTCAACGATGACGTTTTTGGGTAGTGGCGGCGTAAACCCATCACCATGCAAAGGTACTCTAACCACGACGAAAACGGGGTAATCCTAACCGTGGCGACGATAAAGCCCTCTTAACCACTCTGGTCGGATCTGGCCACCATGCGGCGTCCACCCCCGGCCGGCGGTCCATCTACTGCAGCTCAGATCCGGATCGGGTCACCGTACCCAGTCTGGCACGCTGGTGGGCACCCTCCCAAGTCAGGTCAGGCTGCGTCAGGTCCGGCCCAGCTGGTGGGCACCCTCCCAGGTCAGGTCAGGCTGTGTCAGGTCCGGCCCGGCTGGTAGACACCCTCCCAGGTCAGGTCAGGTCAGGTCCGGCGGTCGCCGTGGCTCGATGCACGGTGTTGTCGACCTGCCGCGGTCGGGCCGCGTGGCGCCGACCGCTGCACCGCCGCGGCGCCGCTGTGCCCGCCGCTTGGTCTTCTCCCTGTCCGTCGTGGTAACCAGGTCCCCGGCGGGGGTAGGGGTGATGGGGAGGCGTTTACGGTGTTACGGCGGCGTCGTAGCCACTGGCGCGAGGCTGCTTGTAGCTGTACGCAGCGTCTGGGAGCGGAAGGGCCACGGTCTGGGTCTGTGCGGTGACGTCACCCGCAATGTCATGTGACCATCCCCATCCTGTCCAGCGTCATGTCGTCGCTTGCCACGCCGCCAGTCGTCTCGTGCCGCCCTGCCGGCACTGCTCTCGGCTGTCCTGCCGCCGCGCGCGCGACGCCGTTGCTCGCGCCGGAGTCCGCACCAGCCTGGCGCCATGGCGTGTTCGCCGTGTCTGCTGATCTCCTCATCACTCACTAATGTCCGGCACGCGACGTCGGCGTGTCGCGCTCAACCGATGAGCTGCGGCGCGGTGCACTCCTAGCCGGACGGGCTAACGGCACCCACGCGTGCCCGCCACACCGGTGGCACGTCTGGTCCGGGAGGTTCGCAGAACCTGGCCCGAGGATCCGGAGCAAACGACCGTGCAGGGAAAGCCGACACGTTCTTCCCGGACTGAACGGCATCATCGGTCGCCTTTCGTAGTGTCTGGATAGTTCGGGCGAAGAATGCCTGACAAATACACCCGATAAGGCGCCGAGTGCCTTTTTACTCGACTGGGAGCCTTGGCCAGCCAGTAAGGTGCTTAGTCAACCTCAGGAATGTGTCCGGTCAGATAGGCCCGAGACGGCTACGGGAGCTGAAGGTGCCAATAGCTGTGCATTTTTGGCATTTCTTTCGCCGTTCTGGCACATTTCGCCGGCGCGGTGATTAATCACTCGGCCGCTATCTAAGCACATCGGCGTGCATGGGCTGCAGGCTGTTTAAGACCGCTGCAAGTCGACACTTTCCAGGTGGTTGGCTCGGTGCAATCCAGACGGGACCGGTGTCCGGTGTTCTGATTAGCCGCGCGGCCCGTCGACGGGTGCGCTGAACCCTGCATCCCCCCAGTGCCGGTGCACGGCCGGGCTTCTGGGCGCGTCGCTCGGTGTCGAACGCGGCGCCAGGCCGGCCGCCACCGCCGCCGCCGCCCCGCGCCGCTGCACGGGCGGGGCGGCCGCTCGCCCGCCGCAGCGTCACGAGACCTCGTGCTGGCCACGGCCTGTGGCGATTCCGCGTATCTACCACGGTTTGCGCTGTGACGGGGACACGTGCCGACCGCGGAGCGCCGTGTAACGACACGCGTCGAACACGAGCCGCGTCGTAACAACACGGACCGCGGTGCGACATCGGCACGTGCCTTCAGCGGCCTCGGTCGCCGTCAGCGGTCTTCGGTCGCCTTCAGCGGTCTCGGTCGCCTTCAGCGGTCGGCGGTCATCGTAAGCGTTTGGCGGTCGCGCGTGCCCGTCCGGACACTCGTTGACCACCAGCTGCGGCGTAATGATGACGCGTGCCGACCACCGGCTGCGGTGTAACGACGACGACGGGCGGTGTGTATGCTGACCACACGGTGGTCACCGGCCGCTTTGTAGCATCACGTGCCGACCGTCGGCCCGACCAGCGCGCCGCGGTCAGGCAGGCCGCCGGCCAGGGAGGCGGCGGCGGCGGCGTGTGCACGCCCCCGCGCGGTGCAGAACCGTGGCCGCTCCGCCGCCCCGATCGGTCGGCCCGGCAGCGCAGCCGACCGTCGGCGCCGCCTCTAATCCCCATCCATTTAGCGGCGGGACGTGCGGCGATCGGTCGGCCACCCGCCCGGCCACCGCCTGGCCGCCGCCCGGCGCGCCGCCGCGCCGCCGCGCCGCCGCGCCGCCGCGAACCCGATGGCCTAACCCGAACAGCCGCCGATCGCCCCGCTCGCCCGCCCGCCCGCTGCCGACTCCGTGTCGCTACCGCCCGCGCGCCGCTTGTGCAAGCCGCCCTGCCGGCCGTAAGAGCGTCGTCCGTCTTGCGTGAGAGCCTCATCGCTCATGCTGCGTTCTGTGGCGGCTGACGCGCCGCGCCGGACGACTTAAGTAGGCGCGGCGCGCCGTCGGCGGAAAATGCCCTGGTGTCGCGCGCCGGAATGCGGCCGGTGAGTATTGTGCTCCCGGCCGCCACGTGCGTAGACGCCCTGCCGGCCCAGGGCGGGGCGACCGACGCCCGAGGCGCCTGCGTGGCACGCGCTCCGGAATGAGGCGTGAATAGATCACAGGGGCGCCCATTTGACGTGACCCTGACATACAGAGAGGTAAATTAGGTCGGAGATAGCGGGCAGGTCCGAAAGCTGGATACCCGGCTTGATAAGCTGTTTTTTTAATGTTTATTTCGAGGTGCAGTGAACAATAAAGCTGTGCGGACAGGATAGGACTGATAGTTGTCCTGGTATTCAACTTCGCGGAGGATCTGCTGATGTGGTGACAGCCTCCATTTGCCTGTGTTCAACTTTGGGGTGTTGTTCATCTAAGATAGTGCTGGTAAAGCCCCGGCGGACGGGTGTTGCTCTCACCTTGTTGGGAGAAGGAGCTTTTGCTGCTTTGAAAAGTAAGCACGACGGAGTCCAGAGGCACAGGCAGGGACAGAGGCAGAGGCAGAGGCAGAGGCAGAGGCAGAGGCAGACCGGAAAGGCCGGATACCGGGGTACTCCCGGTCGCCATCATAGGCACTACAGCTTTTCACTGATGCTGAAAGGATGTTGAAGTTAGCCATTGTACAGTTCAAGATCATGCCTTGAGTCCGCGAGAAGTCGTTGCTGACAGATTCGGCGGGGCCCTGGAGGCTGCCCCGTCCGGCGAGTGCAGAGTCCGTGGCCCAGCCCATTCATGTGCTCGTGCCGGTGACTTGCACAAAGTGGCGGAAAATTCCATGCACGAGGATTACCACCGGTGCGGTTGTGCGTGACCTGCCGCTTCACTGTCGGTCCTTCCTGCTGACGGCGGGAGCGAGGCTGCCGTCCTCAGGTATAGACCGAGGCGGATGGAGGACGTGCGGAACATTCGTAACGCCTGTAACAAAATGATTTGCATGGTGTGCCGCTGATTGTTATGGCTTGCCAACAGCTCTCTGCATTGTGTAGTGTTTGAACCGGTAAACGGCCGTGCAGTGTATTGCAAAATCTCGCGGAAGGGCTGAGGCTGCGCTCAAATAGCGTCGACATCTCACGGTGATCTGTTGTTGAAGTGAGCGGGGATTCCGTAGCGGCCCGGCTGTGGCTCTGGTGGCTTGTGACGTCACACCAGCCCCTCTGTTGACATCTCACGGTGATCTGTTGTTGAAGTGAGCGGGGATTCCGTAGCGCCCCGGCTGTGGCTCTGGTGGCGTGTGACGTCACACCAGCCCCTCTGTTGGAAACTATGACGCACGCCTTCGGTCGCTGAGCGGTAAAGCCGGGTTTTGTTATGAGGCAATAAGCTCAGGCGTCATTGCGAAACCTATCGTCCACATGCCGTAGGGAAATTAACAATGAAAATCTTGAAGAAGGTGATGCTGGAGGTGGCATTCATCCCAGCCACCATGCTAGAACCAGTAGCAATAACCCCATTCATCATAATCGTGTACATATGTACAGTGATCTAGCATGACGTTTGGAATAAGTTACCATTGGTTTTGTTCTTGAAAACGATTCATCATCTAGGTGCGTGCTTATCCTGTGACAATGGAGCAAAGCAGCATCCAGCTCGCAATCCTGGAATTTTGCTATCGAATAGCGGCAAATGCATTGCTGTTTGTATTGGTAATACGACGTGGAAATGCCTGTTAAAACTTAAAACTGGGTTGTTTTATTTTTGTCTTCACGCGATGTGAAGGTCCTCGGTTTTGTCTTCTTTAAAGCTATGTTTGATATGCTCGTAGACCCCTGGTGGCTCATGCTAATACTGTGACTTGTCCGCTCTCAGCCCGCAGCTGTTTTTCGAGGTATGCCTTCGGGCGAATAGTAAACACTTCTGATGACCTGGGTAGCCATACGTGCGTTGACGTGAAAGGCATTTGCTTTTGTTTAACCGATACGTCCCTTCCTGTCGTTGAAGCAAGCAGCCGTTGCGACACAGGCTAAACAAGGGGCCACCTTGCCGACACGAGTGCTGAATAACGGGCCGGCTCTCTGACACTTGGAGTACGGACTTTCTGGCGCTGGTGCTCGGTGGAGGGCTTTCCTTTCAGACACGGGGGCTGGACAGATGTGCACCGTTCCGACACGGGGGCTGGGCAGTGCGACGAGGACTGCTCTTACATGTGGATGGGTCAGAGTGGTCACCGTGACCGGAAAAGGTCGCCAGGCTTAATGGCAGCGCCGTGGATGATGCACGATGCACGATGCACGGCCCGTCCACTTTTAGCAGACGTTTAAAAATACCCAACGGCGACGCTTAAAAAGGATTTACTCCCAGATCGGGCGTGTTCCCGGCTCATGTGCTGACGCTGGTACGGCGTGAGCGGGTCCAGGTCCGGGTGCCGGACGGCGCGCCCGGCCTTCTCGCGGGGCGTTCCCCGGGCTCACGGACGTCAGCGGCGGCCGCCGAGCCCGACGATAACCGACGTCCGCCATCCGGCAGGTTCTTTGACGCCATGGACGCCTACCTGGCCGACAAGGACAAAAGCGGTAAGTGCGCGGTGTAATCCGCTGTTTACCCGCCGATCGGTCGGCGCCGTCTCGCGACGGGGCCGTGACGTCACGCCCACGTCACGGCCGCATTCTGGGCGTGCCTGCTGATTAGGTAATGAACAGCGCGGCAATCGGTGGTGTGTGGTGTGTGTGTGTGTGTGTGTGTGTGTGTGTGTGTGTGTGTGTGTGTGTGTGTGTTGTGTGTGTGTGTGTGTGTGTGTGTGGTGTGTGTGGTGTGTGTGTGTGTGTGAGTGTGTGTGTATGTGTGTGTGTGTGTGTGTGTGGTGTGTGTGTGTGTGTGTGTGTGTGTGTGTGTGGTGTGTGTGTGTGTGTGTGTGTGTGTGTGTGTGTGTGTGTGTGTATGTGTATGTGTGGGTGTGGGTGTGGTGTGGGTGTGGGTGTGGGTGTGTGCGCGTGCGTGCGTGCGTGCGTGCGTGCGTGCGTGCGAGCGTGCGTGCGCGCGTGCGTGCGTGCGTACGTGCGTGCGCGCGCGTATGGGTGTGGGTGTGGGTGTGGGTGTGGGTGTGTGTGTGGGTGTGGGTGTGGGTGTGGGTGTGTGTGTGTGTGTGTGTGGGGGTGTGTGTGGGCGGGCGGGTGTGGGTGTGGGTGTGGGTGTGGGTGTGGGTGTGGGTGTGGGTGGGTGGGTGGGTGTGTGCGTGTGTGTGTGTGCGTGCGTGCGTGAGTGCGTGCGTGCGTGCGTGCGTGCGTGCGTGCGTGCGTGCTGTGCCCGAGTCGTGCGCCCCGTGCCGTTGACAAGGTCCCCAGAGACGCACGGCTCAGGGCAGCGCCGCCGCTTGCCGGCGATGCGTCCGGGTCTCGCTCTCGGCGTATGTCTGAAAAACAGGAAGTGAAAAAGTAGGATTAAGAACGCTAGAAACTAAAGATTTCAAAAGTGAACGTTCACGATCCAGCAAACTTTACAGTCATGTCGGATCATTTTCTGGTCAGGTGCGCATGACCTTCGGAACAAATGTTTGCAGGCATGTGCGAAATGACGAAGTGAATGTGCGATAGCTGCCAACCAGCGGTCATAGACGCACAACGAATAATTAATGAAAATCTACTGCCGCGCCTGAATGACTAGATTCGAATTTGTGAAAGGTGTCCACGGTACAGTACGGTACGGTAATGTTTGACATGTGTTTTTACAGTGAAAAGGCATGTTAATGGTCCTTATTTCTGATGCGCTATCTGCTGCCGTTTCCGTCTCATTCCCACATTACTATCCAGCTAGAGAACTTGTAATGAACAGCCTTGGGAAGACAAGGCTACATTTATATCAAATAGAGAGAACGTATCCAGCATCCATACTGGGCTTTGCGGTAGGAAGAGCGTTCTTCAGCTTCGCCGTAGTGGACGAATGGACTGGTCTGCAGGATCGGATGTCCACGCATGACTCGTACGCATTCAGTGACGCAGCTGCTCGGCCTGCAGTTCTTTTGACAGTGGCTGAGGTGTGTCCTCACCCCCCACATTAAGGCAAATGCGCGCCAGCGGCGGCATCAGGGCTAGCTGGCTGGAACGGCTGTCCAGGCTGGCCCTGGCGCCGCCGGCCCAGGCCGGGGCTGCTGTCCGGCAGCAGCATCAGGGCTAGTTGGCTGGGGTGGCTGTCCGGTCCCGCCCAGACCGGGGCTGCTGTCCAGCAGCAGCGTCAGGGCTAATTAGCTGGAACGGCTGTCCGGTCCCGCCCAGACCGGGGCTGCTGTCCGTCAGCAGCATCAGGACTAGTTGGCTGGAGTGGCTGTCCGGTCCCGCCCAGACCGGGGCTGCTGTCCGGCAACAGCATCAGGGCTAGTTGTCTGGAGCGGCTGTCCGGTCCCGCCCAGACCGGGGCTGCTGTCCGTCAGCAGCATCAGGACTAGTTGGCTGGAGTGGCTGTCCGGTCCCGCCCAGACCGGGGCTGCTGTCCGGCAACAGCATCAGGGCTAGTTGTCTGGAGCGGCTGTCCGGTCCCGCCCAGATCGGGGCTGCTGTCCGTCAGCAGCATCAGGACTAGTTGGCTGGAGTGGCTGTCCGGTCCCGCCCAGACCGGGACTGCTGTCCGGCAGCAGCATCAGGGCTAGTTGGCTGGGGTGGCTGTCCGGGCCGGCCCTGGCGCCGCCGACCCAGACCGGGGCTTATGCCCAGCCGGCATCGGAGCCGCGTTTTTCTCAATTTGTCGCGGGCATGATACAGCGGCGAAATTATACAGTGTCTGGATGTAATGGCCGCTGTCGGCGCCCCGTTTGGCGCGCCAATTACGCCGCGAGAGCGCCCAATTAGGTCATCAGGCGGCCGCGCGCGCTATGGAGCCCCCGCAAATGAGATCGTGCGCCCCGGCCGCTCTTATTAAGCTATCAGAATTGTTAATCACGCGACGTAAGGGGAGCCGCGAAGGGGTGGCGGCGCCGGCCTGGCCGGTGCCTGTCCGGGGGGCACACCGCGGGCGCTGGAGGGTGCTGACCGGCGCTACAGACGGTACCGGCCGCCTCGCCGTAGACGGCAGGGGCCCGGCCTGTGAACTAGGATGGCTTGTCCGGTGCGTTGTTTGCAGCAGTCGCTCTTCCACCGACGGTCATTGTCTGTCTGCGTTGTCCTGGTCTGCGGTCCCCGGTCCCCGTCCGCTCGGTCCCCGGTCTGCTGTCTTCGTCCGCTAGGTCCTCGGTCTGCGGTCCCCGTCGGCTCGGTCCCCGGTCTGCTGTCCTCGTCCGCTCGGTCTCCCGGTCTGCGGTCCTCGGTCCCCGTGCGCTCGGTCCCCGGTCTGCGGTCCCCGCCCGCTCTGTCTCCTGGTCTACGGTCCTCGGTCCACGGTCCCCGCCCGCTCGGTCTCCTCGTCCGCAGTCCTCGGTCCCCGCCAGCTTGGTCCCCGGTCTGCCGTCCCCGCCCGCTCGGCCCCCAGCCTGCAGTTCCCGTCCGCTCGGTCTCCCTGTCTGCCACCCCCGGTCTGCGGTCCTCATCCGCCCGGTCCCCGTTCTGCAGTCCTCATCCGCTCGGTCCCCGCCCGCTCGATTCTCGGTCTGCGGTCCCCGGTCCGCTGTCCCGTCCGCTCGGTCCCCGGTCTGCGGTCCCCGTCTGCTCGGTCCCCGCCCGCTCGGTCTCCTGGTCCTCGGTCCCCGCTCGCTCGGTCTCCTGGTCTCCAGTCCTCGTCCGCTCGGTCCCCGGCCTGCGGACGAGGACTGGAGACTTCGTCCACTTGGCCCCCTGGTCCTTGGTCCCCGCTCGCTCGGTCTCCCGGTCCGCGGTCCTCGGTCCCCGTCCGTCCGGTCCCCGGTCTGCATGCCCCTTCCGCTCGGTCTCCTGGTCCACGGTCACCGCTCGCTCGGTCTCCAGGTCTGCGGTCCTCGGTCCCCGCCCGTCCGGTCCCCGGTCTGCAGGCCCCGTCCGCCCGGTCCCTGGTCCCCGGTCATCGGTGCTGTTGGGTCGCTCCGCCGGCGGCCGGCGAGTCGGCAGTCCACAATGGCTCGTAAACGGTGGCGGCCCGGCCGGCGGCGCTGTTCCGCTCCCCGTTCGGAATACCATCGGCGCGTTGATCGGCCCTTGGCGACCGGATGGCCGGCGACCACCCTGCGGTCCGGCTCTGCTGCAGCCTGCCCCGCCCCCGGCCGACCGCACCCGCCCGCTCACTGTTCCCCGCCCGCCTGACTGGCTGTTCCCCGCCCGCCTGACTGTCCGCCGCCTGGCTGACTGACTGCTCCCCGCCCGCCTGACTGTCCGCTGCCCGGCTGGCCGACTGTTCCCCGCCCGCCTGACTGTCCGCCGCCTGGCTGACTGACTGCTTCCCGCCTGCCTGACTGTCCGCCGCCGGCTGGTTGACTGTTCCTCGCCCGGCTGGCTGACGGTCCCGCCCGGCTAGTTGACGGCTCCCGCCCGGCTGGCTGCTGGCCGCTCGGTCTCCCTCCCCCCCCCCCCCGCCCCCGCCGAGGCTGCTGCAGCGCGCCCGGTCACTCGGCCCGGTCGTCTGAGCTCAGTGCCTTGTGCGTCCCGACGGGTCGGGACTGGCTGTGATGCTTGCACATCGGGTCAAACTGCCTCGTTGTCAGCTGGCTTTGTTGTCGTGTACGCATCTCATCTTTTACACCCTTACGACCTGATACCCCCCGTAAACGAGCGCATGCATTTGGTTATATCTTTCCTGGCCGGCGCAGCAGGCTTGCCAAATAGTCACATTCACAGCAGAGCGTGGGGTGTGGTGAGAGTGGGCAGGGGGAGTGGTGGAGGGGTCGAGAACACGCTGGCCGTGTCACGTGCCGCCGGTGACAGCTACTGAAGAGGAGGAGCGGTGAGGGGCGAAGTGAGGTCATGGGGAATACATCGTCATAGATAGATCCGGCTCCAGTCAGCTGATAGCAAACCTTGTGCAACAGTGTCGTCAGGTAGCTTATTTGAATGGCGTAGAGCTGTCTGGTGACGTGAGCTTGTCGAAGTACCCGAGTGAACTATTACCTTAGTCAAAAATGAACAGACGACTGCTATTGTCGCGTTGTGAACCCAATGCACCACCCGGCAAGTCGAAGCCAACGGAATGGCAAAGGACACGGCTGTTCAGTTAACGGGATGGTTAAGGGATGTCAAAGCCGACGGAGTGGTGAAGGACTCAGCTGTTCAGTGGTATGGCCCTGTCCATTCCACACGGATGCACGGGCGTGTGGAGCAGACAGGACGGCTGTACGGCTGTGTGGAGCGGACAGGACGGCTGCACGGCTGTGTGGAGCAGACAGGACGGCTGCACGGCTGTGTGGAGCAGACAGGACGGCTGCACGGCTGTGTGGAGCAGACAGGACGGCTGCACGGCTGTGTGGAGCGGACAGGACGGCTGCACGGCTGTGTGGAGCGGACAGGACGGCTGCACGGGCGTGTGGAGCGGACAGGACGGCTGCACGGGCGTGTGGAGCGGACAGGACGGCTGCACGGCTGTGTGGAGCGGACAGGACGGCTGCACGGGCGTGTGGAGCGGACAGGACGGCTGCACGGGCGTGTGGAGCGGACAGGACGGCTGCACGGCTGTGTGGAGCGGACAGGACGGCTGCACGGCTGTGTGGAGCAGACAGGACGGCTGCACGGGCGTGTGGAGCGGACACGACGGCTGCACGGCTGTGTGGAGCGGACAGGACAGCTGCACGGCTGTGTGGAGCAGACAGGACGGCTGCACGGCTGTGTGGAGCGGACAGGACGGCTGCACGGCTGTGTGGAGCAGACAGGACGGCTGCACGGCTGTGTGGAGCGGACCACATCTCCGGGAGTGCGCTCCGCCGACTTCGAGTACCAGTAAACGTGACCAGCCACGAAAATGAGAGAGAAGGAAATGTCATTCGCAGTGCTCAGCTTAGTTCTCCTTTTTCATACGTGTCCTGTTGTCCCGTCCTGTTGTCCTGTCCTGTTGTCATGTCCTGTCGCAGTTTTTGTCGTGTTGCCTCTTCTATATGCAACGCACATGTGCATGGGCAGAGCGATGCATTTGATGCATCGTTTCTTTAAGCAGGTCTTGTATCAAGTCAGTTTGGCTTGTGTTGGGTGTGTGGGTAGGACCAATATCCCTCTCTGTGGTGGGGTATCAGAAGTAAGCGGTAAAAGCTCTCGCGACCATTAACACCGGAACTTTTCACGCCGCTGGTCCCGAATGGCACGGGTCAAATATTTATGTAGCGGAAGAGCTCTCAACCTGTGTCCTCTGAGCCCGAGTCAAATGCGTTGCAATGTGTCCGATCGCTGCCCATCACAGGTGAGCGTCGCACAGCGCTGTGTCTCCCGATATGAGGCGGCGGCGCGGGGCGTGACCGCCGCCTCGCTGAGGTCTAGTCGGTCGGTGGGTCGTGCAACGCCAGCCGGAGCGCGAGGGAGCCGTGCGCGTCGCGCGGCGCTCAGGGTCCGACCGCCGCCTGGACCGCAGCCCGCTGCGCCGCCGCTGATCGCCCTGCTGCCCCCCGGCTAACGCGTCTCGCCCGCCAGGCGTGGTGGGCGTCCACTGCACGCACGGCGTCAACCGCACCGGCTACATGGTCTGCCGCTACCTGATCTCCCGGCTGGGCTTCACACCGGACGCTGCCATCGCCGGTCAGTGGCGTGGAGCGGGAAGCGCCAGCGGGCGGGGAGGTGCCGCCGGTGGCTGGCGGCCCTGTGCGGATGGCAGGCGTCCGCCCACGGGCGATATGTCGCCGCCGCACGACTGGCCATGTCAGGGGTGGATGATGGCACGAGGCAGCTCAGCTGCCGCTCGTGTGCTGGGTTGTTGATGAGCGCGACCGATTTATTGATAGCTTGATTAGCCCCGGGAGCCGTTGGCGATGTCCTCAGCCTCAAATATTCTCACTCTCCGTCTGCAGTGGAACTGAGCTTTTCGTCGTCGCCTTCCCCCCCCCCCCCCTCGGGTCTCTACCTGGCCGCTGAGTCGGAGGATTCGTCGCGTGCCGACTCGGTGCGAAGCCCCGGACGCCGAGTGACAGGTCGACGGTGCCGTCCGCTCCGCCGTCTGAGCCGGCGGTGCCGTCCTCTCCACCGTCTGAGCCGGCAGTGCCGTCCTCTCCGCCGTCTGAGCCGGCGGTGCCGTCCTCTCCGCCGTCCTCTCCGCCGTCTGAGCCGGTGGTACCGTCCTCACCGCCGTCCGGGCTAGCGGTGCCGTCCTCTCCGCCATCTTAGTCGGTGGTGCCGTCCTCTCCGCCGTCCGGGCCGGCTGTGTTGTCCTCCCTGTCGTCTTCTCCGCCGTCCGGGCCCCGCTCTGAACGGTAACCTGGCCCATGTCGTTCCAGCATTCAACAAGGCGCGCGGCCACAACGTAGAGCGGGCCAACTACCTGGACGACCTGAAGGCGGCCGCCTGGCCAAATGTGGTGAGCGCGAGACGGCCGGCCCGTCCCTCCTCCGGCAATGTTCGCACGGGCCGCCGATCTGTATGCCCTCCAGGTACCAGAAAGGCGTCTAAGAAATACATAAGTGACCCAGCCCAGACCAGAAACCCACAAAAAGTGTCATGTAAAGTAAAGTGAAGAGTGATGTCTTTACGAGGGTTATGGCATATTTGTGCTGACCCCAAAGCCCGAAAGAGCTTTGGGGCCAGCACAAATATACTAGCCCTAATCTGTAATGCTTCTTAAGTGGCTGCCGCCACTGGTGCGTAGTGAACCGCCAAAGATGGCTGATTTGGCCGTTGATGCTTTGGGCGGTTTCGGTGATTTCGATTCTCCTTGCAGGTATGCAGCGGTGACTTTGTTTTGTTTGATGCTTTGGGATGTTTCAGTAATTTCGATTCCTGCTGGAGGTATGTAGTGATGACTATGCTAAATAAAGCCAAGACACCAGTGTTGCGTGTGTGTGAGCACGCGCCCGGGTGGCCGGTTGAACGCGGCACGTTCTTATTGGGGTCCATTTGGACGCATTGATATCTAAAAATAAAAAGAACTAGAGACATCAAATTCACAGAGTGGGATGACCTGTATGCTAACTCACTTGCGTCAGAATTGGAGGTTCCTAGGCCTTCGCGTCAAAGAAGGTGCAACAAGGTCAAACTCAATATTGGTTTCCAAAATGCCCAAGACCTACTCATGCAAGCGCCTTGAACCTAGATGCCTGCCTTAAGCAAAAGTTTACTGGTGTTCATTTCAGGTGAGTCATCTTGCTTTACCTGTAGAAGGGCATTGCTGCCAAAAACCTAAGATATTTTTTATTGCAACGATCGTCAAGGATTATGCTAGGTGGTTCGTTCCTAGCAAACAAAAGATTGACCTGGGTCATTTTAGGTAAGTAACCTGTTCTAAACATTTTAGAAGGTCAAGGAAGATGACAGTTGCCATCCCCGTTATGCAGAAATTTGAAATGAGGGTCAGAAATTACCAGATAAGGCAAGCCCTACAGTAGCAAAGCAGTTAGGTTTTTATCCCGATTTGTCCTTTATCCTTGACGCAAGGTCGCTGGAATTCGTCGTAATTGTAAATGTCATTAGTTTGTTGTCAAAGAACCTATACGTACGATTTCATCTAGCACTCTGTCGTCGCATCAGATCAAACGATTCCCCAAGAATTGCCTTCGCTCATAGCCACGACCTGAATTTGGCCTGTCATAGGTCAGCGGCCTTACAAGGTCCACCTGTTTCCATAAAATATTCGCTATTTAATTGCCTACATGTTTGCAATGTTTGATGCGGCTGCGCCACGCCGTTCGGATGTTATTCTTGGAAAACCTTCGGAGGGGTCAAATTGACCATCCACCCCACCCAAACGTGTGTGGAAGTCTGAACACTGCACTGTACGGCCAGGCACGTGCTGTGGCTTGCTGCATGCACGCTTAGGTTGTTGCAACTCCACTCAAGTTGTTTCTCTAATGGCTAACGTCACACTAAATGGTCCCCAAATGAGTAGGTGGGCTCGCACTGCTGGCTACGCGTACCCACGACCATCGCCCACCCTTGTGCTGGCGTGGCGGCCGGTCCGCCCACCAGTGTTAGATGGCCGCTGAGCGCCGCCCTTTGCAGCCGGACGCGGAGCCGGAGCCGGAGGCCGAGCCGGAGCCGGCGTGTCGCGACCAGCGGCGCCCCGAGCGAGCGGCGCCTGGAGCAGCAGCGGCGGCAACGGCGCCGCGCCGCCTGCCCGTACGACCGTCCGCCGCAGCCGCCGCTGCCGCCGCCGCCGCCGCTGCCACCGCCGCCACCGCCACCGGGCGCCTGGTGGCCGGGCCCGCGGATGTGGCGGCCGCCGCCCCCGCACCCATTCTGGCGGCCGCCGTGGCTCGGGCCGACCCGTCCGGCCGGCGGCGACGGCTGGCGACCCGAGCCGTCGCCGCCGACGACCGACAGGCCGCCGCTGCCGCCGGCCGACGCGCGCCGGCCAGACGACTGGCGGCTGGAGCACATGCGACGTGCGGCCGAGCGGCAGGCGGCCGAGCGGCGGGGCGACCATCGGCGGGCGGCCGATCAGGGCTGGTGCTGGCGCAGATGATGGCGGCTCCAGCCGCCCTGCCGGCCGGCCTCACGGGTTATACATGGCGTCTGGCGCCGGTGGCCGGGCGGCACGGCGCCTGATTCACGCGTCGCCGTCAGTTGATCGCTGTTAAGTGTGCACACGAAATACATGGTTAAGCGGCTGGTCTATCTCTTTCTGGGGGCGGCGGATGTATGTCGGAACGGTTTGTTGACGTGGTGTAGGTGGTAGATTCCCGTCTGATTTAGGACGGCATTCCCAGACTGCGTGCGGCCACGTTTAGACGCTCGGCGGCTGCACGATATCAGCGCCACTCATCGGCGCATCGGATCGCGCGGAGGTCTGTTGTGCTATCTTGATTGACGAGCTCGTGTGTTGTAATCGTGGTAACGTCGCCTCACCCAGGATTCCTTTCTGCGTCTCCATTGACTTGTTCTGTTGACCTGAGATAAAATTTTCGCGTCAGCGTGCATTCTCGCCGTGTTATTAACAGACCAAAGTGGTCCTCTCCAGCTCGCTTTGAACAGCTGAGTGCGACCGTTAACCCGCTCTGAGCCTGGCTGCGCGGGACGTTCGGTCGCGGTGCGCCCCCGGCGGGCGACCGTTGCGCCGCGTCTCCTCGCCTTTTGGCCGCCCCGCCCGTCACTCCGGAGAGCACCGCCGCCGGGGGTCTGCCGGCCAGCCGGCGGCGCCGCCCGGCCGGCCGGTGTCCCCGCAGCGCGCGTGCAGCCTCCGCCCGGCCGCGGCGGCGCCGCGCCGCCGACAGCCGCTGAGATACGGCGGCGGCCGCGCCGGCCCAAGGGAGGCGCCGGCCCGCGCATCACTAATGATCCCTAACGACGCACATGAGCGCCAAAAATCGGCGCGCGCTAGGCGGACGCCGCGGTCGGACGGCGATGCGTGAGCGCCGCTCACCCGGCCGCGCGCCGACCGCCTCCCCTCCTAATGAAGGCGGAGCTCTGGCGGTCCGGCGCGGCGTATCCCTGCCGTGCGGCCGGCGGCCGGCTCGCTGAATGCTAATGATTAGAAGTGATTTGCAGCGACGTGGGATGGCCTGGCCGGCCGACGCTGCCGTGTTCGGACGGGTGCCGCACATTTTCCAGCCGATTGCATGCCGATCGCTGATTTGTCACGGCGGGAGCCGCCGGCGCGCCGCGACCCCGGGGACGGGGAGCGGCGGGACCCGGTGGTGGAGGAGCAAGCCACGGAACCGGTGGCGGAGGCGGGAGCGCCGGCGTGCCGCGACCCCGTGGACGGGGAGCGGCGGGACCCGGTGGTGGAAGGAAGAAGCCACGGAACCGGTGGCGGAGGCGGGAGCCGCCGGCGCGCCGCGACCCCGGGGACGGGGAGCGGCGGGACGCGGTGGTGGAGGAGGAAGCCACGGAACCGGTGGCGGAGGCGGGAGCCGCCGGCGCGCCGCGACCCCGTGGACGGGGAGCGGCGGGACCCGGTGGTGGTGGAGGAAGCCACGGAACCGGTGTGGGAGGCGGGAGTGCTGGTGAGTGACAAAATGGTGTTCGGCTCGGTGGCGAATTGTGGTGATGCCGATGGCGCAGAAGAAAGCAGAGACCTCTGGCAGAGCAAGGTGCGCTGGGACACCGCAGGGTGGGGGCCCTCGACCAGCGGCGACCACTCAGACGGGACCACCTGGCCGGAGCCGAGTCTGCCTCCAGGAGGCGCTCGTCATCGGCAGCGACGTGAGGACGGCTGTCGGGAAGGTTGTTCGCGTGCCGCCGGCGTTGGAGATGCACGTCCAAGGGCGCCCGTAAACGTCCACTGAGGCCTGATGTCAGGGTCGATAGTGAAGACGAAAATAGACACCGCTGCCTCGTGGCCCCCCGTTCGGGCTTGTGCATCCGTTGACAGTGTCGTACCACTGCCAGATGGTCGGTGCGTCCCCGTCCAGACGGGGTTTGAGCCCGCGGTGACCTGCCGACCCACGGGACGATCACGACCTACCCCCGCGAGCGACCTACGGCCTCGGGGCGGGCCTGTCCCTGTATCGGAGTCGGTCTTTAGCCAGCGAAGATGGTGAGTGGCAACCCTCGTTAGGTTGCGGTCGTGTCGGTGCTGCTCGGGTCACACAGGCTCTGCTTGTTGGGGTCCAACAAATGCCGGAATGGCCACAGTGATACCACTGTCTCCCATTGTTGGTGATTTTACATTACCTTACTTTCATTCAGGAACGGTTGCAAGATGTTGTGTCTCCTGAAATCGTACTATGCTTTCTCAACGCTTCGTAGATCGCATACTGATGACCCGAAAGCCCTTCAAACGTGTGGAGAAAGTACCAACCATGGTAATGACTCGACAGCGGCGTCGTGAATAGATGCGTGATTAGCAGCTCGTCTCATGTGCGCCGTTTGTCACCAGCGATGTTCATCGTCACTCTCCTGTTTAGGGGGGGGGAGGGGGGGGACTGGGTGGCACTGGGCTGCGACGGAAACAGTGAACACCTGTGGCGCTGGCACGTCCGCTGCTGCCCACACCAGTCCCTGCAGCAGACCAAGCGCGCTTTATTCAGATGATGAGATTCGGGGTTTCAAATCGTATGCATGGTTTACGACATGTTGAAGTTTGGAAAAGCGTGAAGCGTTTTCATGTTTTAACCGAAAACCGCACCAGATGGTATAACTCACCCTTGCTTTGGATGCTGCAATGTTGGGGGTAAAAACGTGGCGTCAGAGAATCAGTGCGATACACTGATGTGCGTGCTCTGCGCCGCGACTGGGCCGGACCAGACCTGCTAACTTGCATAAGAGGAATCGAGCTTCGATGGTAACTGTTGCTTAATGTCGTATCCACCGCACACGGGGGGCGTAAACATGGGTGCTGCTCCGTTGCAAAGATGGCATTCCAAATGCATTACCTTGCGCAACCCCGAACCATTAAACATGCTCAGTCTGAGAAACCATGAC